AAAATTTTTATGTTTTGTCATCTGGTTTGCTCTTTTAGGTTTTAACTCAGCTGATCAACATGAATCTAAGAGTATTTATGAACTGCCAATCTAAACTTTCCGACATGCCTTTAAAAAGGTAAAACAAAGTGGTTAAGAAATCAACCCCTGGAAAAAATCACACTCAATCTGAAAGCTGAAATTGAATGTCAAGGATCAAATGGGTTTATATATGGACCTCATATTTGAAAAAAATCACTTATTTTGAAGTTCAGTTTTCCTGAATTTCTAAGAACTAATCAAAAGTTCTAAGAACTTAGCGTGAGCGTGGGAGCATTTAAAGGTGGAATTAGGGACTTCCCTGGTGGCGCAGTGGTTAAGAATCTGCCTGCCAACGCAGGGGTCACGGGTTCGAGCCCTGGTCCGGGAATATCCCACATGCCGCGGAGCAGCTAAGCCCGTGCTCTAGAGCCCGTGAGCCACAACTACTGAACCCGCATGCCTAGAGCCCGTGCTCCGCAACAAGAGAAGCCACCGCAATGAGAAGCCTGAGCACCGCAAGGAAGAGCAGCCCCTGCTCGTCGCAACTAGAGAAAGCCCGCGTGCAGCAACGAAGACCCAACGCAGACAAAAATAAATTAAAAAAAAAAAAAAAAGTGGAATTAACCCAGGCCACTTGCACCTGTGGTTTGCTTTCTTTCCTTTTTTTTTGTTTTGGTCAGAATTACATAATTCTCTAAAAACATTTGAATCAATGTAGCTATTAAATTTACGTTAAAATGTGCTGTGGTGTAGAAACACTTGTCTATATACTTCTTCTTAGAAGAGCAGTCATTTCTAAGTTGGAATGTATGTGGCTCATTTGCATGTATCTTGAAAGGAAGGCAGGCTTATCTGCATACTCTCTGAGCTTTGGAATGGTCATTTGTGAAACAGGTCACCTGGAAAGCAGTCAGTAGTAATAGTGTAGCACATCTGGGGACTGGGGTAAATTGCCACCTTGCGAATGCGCTGGCTTCTATAGGTTAGATTCTGAGTGAATTGAAGCCGTGTTTGAAAGTGACGGAAGGGTTCCAGCTTTCACCATTATCCTCGGATAAGAGCAATGTTTAAATGATTGCATACAGTGTTTTCAGGGCACGCCTGAGAACTCAGCCACCATTTAGGACTTTGTTTTTGAGAGAGAGGAAAGTGAGTTTCTTTCACCAAGGGGAGGCAAGCGCTCAGGGGAGGCACGTGCTCAGGACATGCTTGTGACCCCAGCAGCGGCTGCCTCCATCCCCCCATCCCCCAACAGGGCAGGAAGGAAGGACCTCCCCAGCCCCACCTCCCCTGCTCTCCTCTCCCGTCTGCAACAACCACAGGGCGTACAGTTAGATCAAGAGGTAGTTTTGGAAACACTTTTCTCAGTCTGGAAGGAAGCCTTTCCAAATCCAGTTTGTCTTAAGCCAGTTGTTTACCTGTGTGGATGCGTATAAGCTCAAGGACTATGGTTGCGTTGAAAAAAAATTCACATCTTTCTTTTCCGTTTCAGCTTTTACCGTTATGTCTTGGAAGCAGAGATTTCTTTTACTTCGGACAATAGCTTTGCTAAGGGTCCAATAGCAAAATTTTTGGATATGCCACAGTCTCCTTTGTTCACTCTGAACTTGAACACACCTGAGAGTTGGATGGTAGAGTCTGTCAGAACGCCATATGACCTTGATAACATTTACTTAGAAGAGGTAAGAATATCTTTGCTTCCCAGTGTCTAACCACATGTAAAGCCTGTTGAAGATGTAGTGGTGGTATTCTCTGACTGAACAGACTGGATCACAGTCTAGGTGGGCTTCTGAGATAGTAGTGTTCAGATCTAATAGATCTAATTCACATACCATAAAATTCACCCTTGTAAAGTGTACAGTTCAGTAGTTATAGTATATTTACAGAATTGTGCAGCCATCACCACTGTCTAATTTTAGAATATTTTCATCACCCCTAAAAAAAAAACTCCATACCCATAAATAATCACTCCCCATTCCCTTTGCCCCTGGCAACCACTAATCTACTTTCTTTCTCTATGGATTTGCCTGTTCTATTACATTTACCTAAATAGAGTCATATACTTTGTGACTGGCTTCTTTCACGTAAATTATTTTCAAGGTTCATTCATGTTTTGGCATGTATTAGTACTTCACTCCTTTTTTTTTTTTTTTTTTTTTGCGCTACATGGGCCTCTCACCACCATGGCCTCTCCCGTTGCGCTGGACGCGCAGGCTCAGAGGCCATGGCTCACGGGCCCAGCCGCTCAGCGGCATGTGGGATCTTCCCGGACCGGGGCACAAACCCGTGTCCCCTGCATTGGCAGGCGGACTCTCAACCACTGTGCCACCAGGGAAGCCCCTTCACTCCTTTTTATTGCCAAATAGTATTCCGTTGTATGGATACACCAGATTTTATTTATTATTTATTTATTTATATGTCACTGATAAACATTTGGGTTGTTTCTACTTTTTTACTAGTATGAATAATGCTGTTATGAGCATATGTGTACAAGTTTTCGTAGATATGCTTTTATTTCTCTTGGGTATATACTTAGGAATGGGATTGCTGGATCATATGGTAATTTTGTGTTTAACTTTTTGTGGGATTACCAAGCTGTTTTCCAAAGTGACTGCATCATTTTTCATTCCTGTCCTAGTGACAAATGATGTTGAATATTTTTTCATGTGTTTATTGGCCATTTGTGTATCTTCTTTGGAGAAATTTTTTTTTTTGCGGTCCGCAGGCCTCTCACCACTGTGGCCTCTCCCACTGCGGAGCACAGGCTCCAGATGTGCAGGCTCAGTGGTCATGGCCTACAGGCGCAGCCGCTCTGCGGCATGCGGGATCCTCCTGGACTGGGACACGAACCCATGTCCCCTGCATCGGCAGGCAGACTCCCAACCACTGCGCCACCAGGGAAGCCCTGGCTTGTCTTTTAATTGTTGAATTGTAAGAGTTCTTTATATATTCTGGATACAAGTCTCTTGTCAGATACATGCTTTACAAATATCTTCTCCCATTTTACAGGTTGTCTTTTCACTTTTTTGATGGTGTCCTCTGAAGCACAAAAATTTCTAATCTTCATGAAGTCTAATTTACCTATTTTTTGTTGCTTGTGCTTTTGGAGTTATATCTAAGAAACTGTTGCTTAATCCCAGGTCACAAGGATTTACTCCAGTGTTTTCTTCTAGGTCTTTCACAGTTTAAAACTCTTACATTTTACTTCTTAGATTCATTTTGAGTTAGTCTTCGTTTATGGTGTGAGGCAGAGTTCCAGCTTTATTCTTTGCATGTGGATATCCAGTTGCCCCAGCACCATTTGTTTAAAAAACCTATTCTTTCCCCCACTGAATGGTCTTTACATCTTTTTCAGAAATCAGTTAACCCTAAATGTGAAGGTTTAATTCTGGGCTCTGAATTCTATTCCATTGGTCTCTGTGTCTGTCCTTAGGCCAGTACCACACTGTCTTATTTACTGTAGCTTTGTAGTAAGTTTTGAAATTAGGAAGTGTGAGTTTTCCAGTTGTGTTCTTCTTTTTCAAGATAGTTTTGGCTCTTCTGGGTTCTTTGCATTTTGGAATCAGCTTGTTAATATCTGCAGAAGAGGCTGCTGGGATTTCAATAGGGATTGCATTAAATCCCTAGATGAATTTGGAGAGATTGCCATCTTAATATTAAGTGTTCTGAACCATGAAAATGGGATGTCTTTCCATTTATATAGGTCTTTAATTTCTTTGAACAATATTTTGTAGTTCTTAGTATACAAGCCTGTATAAGATCATGTCATCTGCAAATAGAGTTTTACTTTTTCTTTACAATCTGGATGCCCTTTATGTACTTTTCTTGCCTGATTGGAAAATTTTTAAATTACTGATTTAACCTCTTGTTGTAGGTCTGTTTAGATTTTATATTTTGTCTTGAGTCAGTTTTCAAAGTTTGCGTCTCTTAGGAATTTACCCATTCTATCTAGGTTATCTAATTTGTTGGCATGTAGTTATTCATAGCATTTTCTTATACTCTTTTTTATTGAATAGTGATGTTTCCCTTATCCTTGCTGATTTCAGTAAGTTGGCTCTTCTCTCTTTTTTTTCCGGTCAGTCTAGCTAAAAGTTTGTCCATTTGTTGATATTTGCGAAGATATCAGCTGTTGTTTTCATTGGTTTTTCTTTATTGTTTTTCTGTTCTCTGTTTCATTTATTTCCATATAACTGTATTTGAAGTCTCTAAGGTAAGTGGTCCCTTTTCCCTAATCCATTTTCAAAGATAGTGCAATTTCATTTCACTGATGTCTCTTCCCAGCCCTCACTCTACACCTAGCTCAGAGTGTATTAACAAAGGAATTAAAAGACATGGTCTTTACTTCCAGGGAGCTTACAGTGCCTCAGAGCCTCCTTCCTTTTTTAAAACATTTGTCTCTGTGTCTGCCTTAAATATCTCTTATTACAATTGAAGCCTGTTTTCTGGTTCTGTCTTCTTGGGAATTGGGAGACTGGAAACTTGAAGATAGTTACCAAAGGAATTAGCAGCCCTCTTATCATGAGGTTGAATTACTCTAGTTTCTTTAAGTAGAAACCCTTAGGTACTAAGTTGGTGGCGGGGAGAGAGAGAGAAAGAGAGTGTGCGCGCACGTGCGTGTGTATGTGTACATACGTACACACCATATTTTTAACAAATAGGGAACCCTTGAGGAACCAACTCTTGTTGAAGAGACCACACAAAGCACTAAAAAACAGTGCACAGAAGTATAGATCAAATGCAAAGCAGGTTTCTTCCGGGGCCTTCCCTGGTGGTCCAGTGGTTAAGACTCTGTGCTCCCAATGCAGGGGGCCCGGGTTCGATTCTTGGTCAGGGAACTAGATCCTGCATGCCGCAACTAAAAAAAAAAAAAAAGATCCCACCTGCTGCAACTGAAGTTACCGCACGCCGCAGTGAAGATCTTGAGTGCTGCAACTAAGACCAGGCGCAGCCAAATAAATAAATAAATATTTTTTAAAACCCAAAACAAAAAAACAAAAACAAAGTAGGCTTCTTCCGTATCTCCCAGAGTTTTTGCTCCTCTTTCTTAGGCTTCCTCCAGTTTCTCTGCACTCCGTTGAGAATACAGAGCCTGAGACTCGTGAGCATGTGGAGCATTGCAGTAACATGTTAAGCACCAAGTAGCTCACTGTTAGGGTTACGTAGGGTCATAAAACCAAGCCTGAGCTAGCCTGGGGTAGAAACTCTTCATTTAGCTAAAGCCAAGCTGCCCTAAGACTTTGTAGTTGTATCCCATTTTCTACAAGAAATTAGCAGTAATTTAGGCAGTCGGTGCAGCACGTGAATGGTTTTATGCCATTATGGAGCCATTAAATTCATCTTGGACGTTTGCATTTAGAATAGCAATATTTGCAGCTATATTCCAAAGGCCAAGATGAATTTGCATTGCTCTCTGATGTTTTTCTGATCTTTCTCATTGTTTCTCTCTTTTCTCATATGAGCTAATCCTTGTAGGATTGTTTTATCTATCTTCTCCATTATTTGCTTTTAGATCTGTTCATTCATTTGGCAGTCTTATCTTACATGCTTTTTTCCCAGTACTCCTCTTGTAGATTAGCATCTTATCCTCTCTGTACTTTTGGAATAATCTCCTTATTGTTTTTTTCTGTGTCCTTTTTCCTGGCTCTCCTTCCAACCCACCGTAGTTTCTAAAATTGTGTACTCTTGTTAACTACCAGCACAATCAAGATACAGAGCATGTCCATCACTCCAAAAGTTTCTGTCATGCCCCTTTGCAGGTAACCTCCTCCTCCCCCTGGCCCCAGGCAACAGCTGATCTGCTTTTTATCCCTATAGTTTTGCCTCTTATTGAATTTTTTATAAATGTGATTATATGGTATGTTGCCCTTTATGTCTGGTTTCATTCACTTTGCATAATGCATTTCAGATTCATCCATGTTGTTGCATGTATCAGTACTTTGTTTCTTTTTATTGCTGAGTGGTCTTCAAGTGATTTAATTTTGATATTGCAGGTGGACAGCATAGTGGCTGCGGAGTATGAGCTGGAGTACCTGTTACTGGAAGGTCACTGCTATGACATCACCACCGGCCAGCCCCCACGGGGACTGCAGTTTACCTTAGGAACTTCAGCCAAGCCAGTCATCGTGGACACTATTGTTATGGCTAATCTGGTAAACAATCAGTACATCTGGTGGTGATACTCAGTCATGTTAATTTGGGCACTGCGATTTATGATAGAGCAATTAGCATTCTGAACATGAGGGAGATTAAAATTCATGATGGACTGAATTTTTCTTTTTAAGACCACTTAAAAAGAAAAACTTTTTCTTTTAAGACAACTTAAAAGAAAACATGCTAGAATATTCTACTCTAACCAGATTGGCTCCTGAAAAAGTATTGCTTATGAGCCGACAGCATTTTTTCCTTCTTCCTCTTTTTTCTTTTTGAGATTTGAAGCTTATTCACACATCATGGGTTGCTTCTTCACTGAAGTACAGCTAAAGGGCAGGCTTCTTGGCTTGATGGGCCAGTATTTTGCTAGTGTTTCTAATCTGTAGATTTTAAGAGTTGCATTCGTTTGTTAACCATCTTATTTAAAATAAAGGTGACTGATACTTTAGAAAAAGAAATAACTGTCCCTCAGAAACAACATTTTGATGTTTTTAAGAGCACTAAAATTTGTCTTGTCTTCTTGTCCTATTAGGGCTATTTTCAGTTAAAAGCCAACCCAGGAGCTTGGATTCTCAGACTAAGGAAGGGACGTTCTGAAGACATTTATAGAATCTACAGGTAGGATTAAATGATGCAGATACATTTTTTTTAGAACATTCTGCAGTGAGAATCAGCTTGAATTGAATACTTCACTGGCAATTACCCAGGCAATAAGAATTTAATTTGCAATTGTATGTGTGATGAAATGGTGCTTTTCTAGGAAATTAAATGTGGGAGACTTGTCAGGGTATAATTGGATAACAAGCAGTGTAAATACTAACAATATATGTAGTCAAGTTCGACTCTTCGGTCATTCTTTCGTGCTAACAGTATCCCAGGATCAAATCATTATGTCACTGTGATGAAAACCACAGGCAGATGAGAAAGTGAGTCATTTCAAGAAAGGAGAAAAGAAATGAAGAAAGGTCAGACTTTTCAACCCTGGGTAGTATATTTCTCTACCCTGAGTAAGTTGCAGATTGACAAGACACGTAAGCTTTGGCCATGGAACCTTGGTGCGAACACTTGTCTTTCCAGGTCTGAGGTGGTACAGAAGGTACTCCCAGAGCATCGTCGGTAGCCTGCTTTTTGCTTTAAGGTTTGCTACAAGTGACTCTTAGTTTAAAAAAATTATGCTGCCTTTTAAAAAGGTGTGATCTAAATTCTGCTTAACACAATTTAAATTAGTATTAAGCTATGTGAGAAGACTTCATGCCAATTCATTTCAGGAATGATTTCCATTAGAGTTTATTTGAAAACATTATCCTGTTGTGTCTTCATCGTAGCTTCATAGTCTTTACTGACCCACATGAAAGCTATGTGGATTTCTGCATGTTTCTTACCAAGAAAGTAGAAGATTTTTGTATTATAGTAAAATCTTCATTGTACATAGTAGGATTTTTGCCTGTTAATGTTTTCCCCAAAAGCTTATGTGTTGTCTTTCTAAACTCTGTCCCTCCTGTGTGCCCTTTTCCTGGCCAGGCCTCCTACAGTGGCCAGCACCTCACGGTCGCGGGCTCTCTTCCTCCTGTGCTTCCCAGGCTCTGGAATGTTTCATGCTCCCTGTCAGGATCTCACCTTTGCCCGAGAAATTTGCTCTCTGCTGGATGACAGTGAATCTAGTGAATTCATGTTCTATCGTGGCTTTCTGTAGTTATCACCTTAAAATTTGGTGACTGGTAATTTTAGGCATTACAGTTGATTAGTAGGGAAATACTGTTTTCAGTTTTTCCTCCTCTGCCCTGTCTGCTTGCAGACAGAGCTCGTTAGAGTTCTTCCTCCAGAGGATGGGCGCCAGATTGAGTGCAGGGCCTAGGCTTGGCTGTGTGCCTCCAGGAAGGACAGAGTAGAAGCGTTTACAAAACTCTGAAGTAGAGCCATGCCTTGCTACTTGCCCATTACAGAGCAGTAGTGATGCGTTTCTGGTGACGGTGCAGGGGCCCGGGCCCCCAGGCGCTCCTTTATCGAAGGGCGCCGTGCTTGGCTCAGACCTCGTGAACACAGACAGTGGTTCCGTGCTCACGATGTGCTTGCCAGCACCAGGAGCCTCTCACTCTATGGAAGGTCATTCGAAGAGGGACTCAAGAAGGAAGTTTGGGCTGTGACCGATTCGCACGCTCAACGTGTAAGGATAGAGATTTTGACAAGTGCTTCTGCGTAGCTTGAAGGGGTTTCCTGCAGATTGTGAGAAAATAATTTATTCAGAAATGACATAAAGATGATGGGCAGATATGGGGGGTTGATATCAGACCATTTACTGCATTTTGAGACCTGTGGTTTGTGACATCCATCTTCCTTCCTTCCTTCCTTTTCTAAGTCACGATGGTACAGATTCTCCACCTGATGCCGCTGAAGTTGTTGTTGTCCTCAGCAACTTCAAAAGCAAAATCATTAAAGTGAAGGTGAGTTTGGTATATTAAGGCAGCCACTCTATTAAAGTTAGTGAAAGTAGCAGTAACTTGGTATTTAGTAGCTGTTATGTAAAAATACGTATCTTGAAACCAGCCCCAGACTATGTGAGGTGATGGAATGTGTTAACTCCAGAAGTTGTGCTGTTATTATATATTCACAATATATACCTATACCAAGTCATCACGTTGTATACCTTAAATTTACAAGTGTTACTGTTCATTACATCTCAGTAAAGCTGAAGGAAAAAGAAAGAAACCAGCCCAAGACTTTAATTCACCTTTGGAATTTTACTGTAACGTTTATAGGAATGCGCTTGAAATGCAAAATGTCTTTTTAAAATATGAGTTTGTGGCTTTCTTCACCTGAGAGATTGCACCTTTTGGGTTATCTCAGTGAGCAGTACAAGTCTCGTTTTACATCAGATGTTTTCATAGATACTGCTTTGCTTGTACAGCCACAGTTCACATTATTATTCATGATTTTATTCTCAGAAGACTGGAAAGAATGCCAATGAGAATTTCAACATCAGTAATAAATGGTAGCCTTATTTAATTTCTTTTTACTTCTGCTTTCTGTTCTCAGAATTTTGAAGTTCCTAGTGCCTTAAGTGCAAATAAAAGGTATTATGGGATAAATAATCATTATACACAGTAAAATTGAAAGCAGACAGCACACGGTTGAGCAGAAAAATGATCCCTGTGCTGTCGAGAAGATTCGACCCCTGTTTGTACTAGTCAGCCCTGGTACAAGGCTGTCACATGAGATGACTCCTTCCTGACAGTTAGAGCTCGTGTGT